TCACAAATTGGATCATCACGACGTGAGCAACAAATGTCAAAAAGCAGAAATATCATTATACGTACACTGATTCTTGTTAGCTTAGGATATTTTATATGTTGGGGACCAATGAACATATATGCAATATTAAAACGTCTACATATTGTTGGAGACTACATAGGGATCCCATACCAAATCACTGGTTATTTTGCAATTGCTAACTGTAGTATCAATCCAATTATTTATTCATTCAGCCACACCTTGTTTCGAAGAGCCATAAAGAAGATTTTTACAAATGACAAATATGGCATTCATGCTAGATTTAACACAACATTAAGAGATAGAAATAGCTTCACCATGACAGCACAAAAGGCTGGAAATGGTGAAAGAGAACACCAAACATCAGCAAACAGTCAAACTGAGTCATCACCAAATACTGGAATAGAACGGCAAAGGTCACCAAACAGTCAAACAAAGACATCACCAAATACTGGAATAGAACAGCAAAGGTCTATAAAACATTGGACCATGACATTCCAAAGGACTCGGAAAGAACAAAAAAGATACAATAAGAAAACCACCACAAAAATTTGGATTTTAGATATTTCTAGCAAAGAGAGACATAAAGCAAGTCGCATTAACACTGACTTGCCTGAATGCAATACAAATGTTGCACTGATAGACTACAGGATTATGAATGATGCGTAGAACAACATTCCATTGCATGTGATTCATTTACAATTTGAAATTGGTCTTTTTCTACATCAAGGATGCAGTTCTGAATTGATTTTCACCTATGTTTGCACAGATTTGACTTCCGGTTTCGAGTAAAGCTAGAACATCAGTTTAACTTTTAGTCTTATTCAAAAGTTATGTTAAATTTCGATATAGCTTTTTAAATAATAATTAAATAATAAAATTTTACATACATTTGTCCTAACAAGAGTAACAAATAAAACCACAAAATTCCTTGCAAATAAATGATTTGACGATAAATGCAAAAACTACATTTTAAAATAAGACCACTTCAAGTGTTTTTTGACATCTTTAATAGTTCTTCCAACAAAGCCCCTCTTTAGTGGATGGTGAAAATGTCCTGTAATGTAATCCCACAATAGATTCCCCTACTACGTCAAAACGATCATCATTTCAGCCAACAATTACGTCCTTTGTTAGCTTTTTTTGTCAAAGCAATTAAATACCTTAAACACATAGTTAATCCATTCAAAGCAAACTCGCCTCATTGATCTTTAATTGACAGTACAAGACTTTAGCTGAAACTCAATTTAATCAGAAAACAAATAATGCATCAAGTACTTGAAAGTCAAACTTAAAACTTGGGCCCTAACAATCATAATAATGAGAATCTATTAGAACGCTGTAATTGGTGATATCATAGGAAAAGAATCACATGTCATAAGTTGAAAATTAAATCTACTTAAAGCATTACAAGGGACATTCCTATTGATGCATCTTGAATATTACTGGCATAATGTGATGTGCATTCGCTGACAATTGATTTTGGAAAGGACATAGGGATGCACACTTTTTTAAAACCATTCACTCAATAACCTGTTTCACTGTAACAGAGATATGTACAAAACTAATTGCTTTCACCCGATGTGTGTAATTAACTTAATAGATCTCCTTTCCCATCACTTAAACACTACATATATGTTTTAATTACCATATCATCCATATTTCACTCTCTCTCTACAAATATGAATAGGCAAATCTCAGACTAAATGCATGTTGATAAAAGTGAAATACATATCACATTTTGCTATAAATAATTTACAGATTTGCTTCATTAGCTATAAAGACAGAATATAGTCATGGAGTCAAACAGTTGAAGCATGGAGGGACATAAATTAATCATTTCCATTCCAGCTTCAAAAATTGTACGATTTATCTTGCTATAGCAGCCAGAATTGCTAAAAATAGAATTTCACACAAAGCTAGGCAAGGTGTGTGACATGGTCGACAAGGCATTATACAACCAATCACCGCATCCAGGGTCATTCCTCATGTGGCTGTCAATGCGACAACTTGATTCTACAGATTGAAATTGATGCTTTGCCAACTTGACACTTGCAAAGTGATTTCGTATCTTTTAAGTCACATGTAAGAACATATTTTGTGAAAAGAATTTAATCCCAAGACTTCAAGAATTCAATGCATTGTTGAATGACCATTCCTTTCAGGCGTTGTTTCCTAAAATTAACACTCAATGCTGCGTATCTTGTGTGCATTTTGGAAAGCAACACCTTCAAGGAATGGTTATCTAAATTGCACTGAGTCCAGGGCTTAAATGTTTAAATAATCAAGCTCAAAATAAGTTTCTATTTCATACAGTTCACTGTTTTGAATTGAATAACAGCTCTATTTTAGATGTGAAATTGATGATTTGAATGTTAAAACTCCAAGGTCAAGCTGATCTGGTCAATTCTCCATGCTCCAAGTGTCCCAAAAAATTGAAATGACCAACATTTTTAGTTGGAGTAGGACATTTTTTGAACTGTGTACTTGAAAATTTCTATCAACATCACTGCCATTGACATTCTGTCCGCCATTTTATTTTTTGAGAATTAACATGGTAGAGAAGCATCAAAATATAAGAGGTTACAGACTTTTTTTACCTTGATAAGGTCATTAAAGGTCAAATGTCAAATCTAAAGTCAGATTTGAATTTCTGAGAACATGTAGATGATTTTGAAAAAAAAATTAGTCAATTTGAAGCAAGTTGAAAAAAGACCTTTTTGACCTTTTTTGACCTTGAGAAGGTCATTGAAGGTCAAATCTAAAGTCAAATCTAAAGTCATATTTGAATTTCTGAGAACATGTAGATGATTTTGAAAAAAAAATTTAGTCAATTTGAAGCAAGATGAAAAAATACCTTTTTGACCTTTTTTGACATTGAGAAGGTCATTGAAGATCAAATGTCAAATCTAAAGTCAGATTTGAATTTCTGAGAACATGTAGATGATTTTGAAAAAAAAATTTAGTCAATTTGAAGCAAGTTGAAAAAAGACCTTTTTGACCTTTTTTGACTTTGAGAAGGTCATTGAAGGTCAAATGTCAAATCTTAAGTCAAATCTTAAGTCAGATTTGAATTCCTGAGAACACGTAGATGATTTTGAAAAAAAATTTTAGTCAATTTGAAGCAAGTTGAAAACAGACCTTTTTGACCTTTTTTACCTTGAGAAGGTCATTGAAGGTCAAATCTAAAGTCAGATTTGAAGGTCAAATGTCAATTGAAGGTCAAATGTCAAATCTAAAGTCAAATTTGAATTTCTGAGAACATGTAGATGATTTTGAAAAAAAATTTAGTCAATGTGAAGCAAGTTGAAAAAAGACCTTTTTGACCTTGAGAAGGTCATTGAAGGTCAAATGTCAAATCTGAAGTCAGATTTGAACTTCTGAGAACATGTAGATGATTTAGAAAAAAATTGAAGTCAGTCTAAACAGTATTTGTTAAGTTATAGGAAGTTGTAAGAAATTGTTACAGACGCCAACCTCCAACCGCCGGACGCCAACCTCCAACCACCAACCGCCGTCGCAGAAAAACGGAGACCATAGCAATATGTCACCACTTTTGGTGGTGACATAAAAAGAACACCTTTTTAGAAGAATGCCTTTTAAGTAATGGAGTCTTTAAGTCCAGCCCAAGTGGCCCATTGACTTTTTGTTCAACTGGTGTCCCACAAACAGGTTTTACTACATACTTAAATGTCTGCACATGAAACAGCATATATCATACATCAAACTGTCGAAATGAGATCTATGAAAAAGGCATTATATTACTACCATCTGGCAATTAACATTATTGAAAATTGATGATAACGATGTTCTAATTAGGCAACATATTATTAGTTCAAACTAATAGTCAGTTTACAAGTAGACAATAATTAAGGTTATATTTTAATATTATCCAGTGGTAATTTCATATGAGTTGAAAATGGTGTACGAGTTTCATTGTTATCTACCAGACTCTCCTAGCTGTTCTTTACAGCAGGAGCTGAAGATACCTGCGGTGTTCTGCCTTTTGGAAGAAAGTTACTGGCCTTATAATAGACAATGGTATAAGCCCTACTAGGGTTTTCAATTGGCATTATCTCTTGTAGTCAACCCCATGTAGATATATATATGTCAAAGGCTATCTGAGTAATTTTAACAATTTTAATGAATATATCCAAGTGAATATCAAAGATTTAACAAGAATACATCACAAAACTTAATTTTCTCATCCTACTCCTAGTCAGGCTTTTAAAGTTTTTTGAACGACAAGGCAGTGAGTGAATAATATTTTACCTAAAAATAAAAATGGCCACCATAAAATATAACCATCATACCCACAATTTAGACATAACTTCTTCAAGGATAAATTGTCTGTATGGAATTAAAATAATGCACAAAGTAAAATTTATACTGTACCTAAAAAATTTCCCTGGCATGCCCAAAATCTGAAAAATTCTAGATTAAAATCTGTCTTGTGTTTTGCTTAGAAATAAGCAGACAAGAAAATGAGAGATGCCTGCCTACCACCTGCCTACCACCAAACTGCACAAATACTACAGCTTTTGTACAATCAAAATTCATATAATTAGTCTGATCTGGACCCCCATCTTATTCTTTTTCAGCCTAAGGAAAGTCTATATTGTCGAATCAATCCATGAAGTAAGTCTAATCTACAGGGAAGATAGGGTGCCAGGGTTCCAACTCAATATTCTACATTGACCTTGACCGTGCCATTATTTTCTGACATTATAACGGACTATAAATTCAATGAACCAAAAGATATTAACTAATGTATTGGTCACTACTTGTGTGTTTTGAATATCACTCGCAATTTAAATTCTGAAGTGAAAAAAAGGTGGCATTTTGATTTTGAATTTTGTAATCACAACAAGACTCCATATATGGCAAATATCGAACTGGAACCCTGGGAGACAATCATCCTTGTCTAATCCATCAAATACTAGCCCCCTTATGACATTATCAAATGATAATTTTATACATACCTTGTGAAGCATATGTATTTGTGTCAGCAGACCCTCCCATACTTTGCTGATAAGCTGCTGGATTACTCTCAGATACATATTTCGATTGGTTAAAAGTTGATGAATTAGTTTCTTCCCTAAATTTTGATTGGTCCACATTTCTTTCAAATGTATCTGAATTGTCTCTTGTATTATGGAATGTGTCATCATTTGAATTATCTTCAATGGTAATAGTGTCACTTTCTTCTTCAATGGGTTCAGATTTGACTTGTTTAGTAGGAATGGTCTCTTGTTTGATTTTTGTATCACATTTTCTTTTTGTAGCTGTACTTGAAGCTGAAATGATTGATAATCATATACACCCAATCTAAAATGGCACATTTCAAAGAATACAAAAATGAAAATTCTATTTAGAATAATAGATTTTGATTGTTCAAAGTACAAGTAGGGGTTGTTGTTCTATATTTTCTTCAGACTAACAAAACAATTTTGAAGTTTGATGCCTTTTATCACTCTTAAAAAAATATTACATTGATAACTCAAGCACTGTTGCATAAAAATATTTTTATAACTAAATGCACCATAGAATCATTCGCTTACACTGTTTATGAGATTCTTCTGCAGTATCTAGGCCATCAGGGAACATATCGTCACCACCTGAATTCTCCATGAAATTACTCTCAGCCTTCAAGGAGCATGATGGTGTGGATGACATTTGAATTTGTTGTAACCTCGGATGGGGGGTATAATCAGTATAGTTATATTCAGCTGGATTAGGTGGGGTGGCTCCCATTGGCTGAGATGGTTCTGCAGATATCTGCCTATGAACAGTTTTGCTTTGAAGCACCGTTCTATGCATTTTTACTACAATATCAGGAATTGCGCTACCCGGAGAGAGACATATAATGCCATCTATCTCCAGTGAGTTTTCAAATTGTACATGTTGTGAGCAGATTTTCAAAACTGCGTCCTGAATCATTTTCATGACATGATTGGCATCGGAACCCATTCTGCTCACATCCAAGTCTGAAAAACAATGGAAGATTAAAGAACATGAAAGAAAACTGTGCAACCAAGACACACTTAGCTTGTATCACAAATAACAAGAGCAAGTCTTTTCTGACAACAGAATGAACCCCAAACGTCTTGAAGGTGAAGGGGGGGGGGGTACACAGTCCTCATCTTGAGGTAAAACTAATTTGCAAACAGACTAACTGCTGAAAAATATGACCTGTATTATATTTACCAAAATGGATGTCCCCATGACTCCATACTAGCATATGCATGACGCATTTCCAGGCCTGTCAACTGTCCCGCAATTTGCGTATTTGTCACGCATTTGCTGAGGATTTGGAAGGCACGCCAGTTATTTTTGCGTGACAGAAAATGTCACGCAAATACGCATTTTACCTGGTAATTGTCAAGCAAAAATATTTCCGTAGAAAAATTTCTAAAAAAGATCGTCTACACAGCAAAGATACGAACGGCGGAAAAAAATGTACGCATTTCGTTCGGACTTTTCACGCGAATTACGTATATGTCACGCATTCCGTTCGAAATTTTTCGTACCTACCCCCCCCCCCCCCCCCCCGTTGATGGATATTTTAAACGCGAGCGTAGCGAGCGCGAAACATTTGAGGTGTTCAAAATTTGGCAAGATGTAATGAAATTTAAACCAAGGTGTTCAAAATTTGGATCAAGGTGTTCAGATTTGAGCCAAGGTGTCCACATTTTGAGGGGAGGTGTTCAACATTTCCAAGTCACTCATGTTAGGTGTTCCCAAGTTGACAGGCCTGCATTTCTCATGAGTTTTAGTTTACATTTTGATAAAATGAAGTCGGGGCAATCTCCCTAAGGTTTGTTTCTTCTGGTTTGATTTTTATTTTAACATGTGTTCCCTGTTTTTTTTCTAGTAAACATTCGGGTGTGTCAGCACATAGACTTTGTGTAATAAATAGTACCATGGGTACTGGGCTCATATGGTGTTGCTCAAAAGTGAATGATGGCTAAAATGACAGAAAAAAAAAATGGCTTCAATTTTGAAAATAGGCGAGCTTTTGAACCAGGAGTCATAAGGGAGTTTTCTGTATTGATGTTGAACAGAAATAACTTAAAACAGGAATTAAAAAATAAAACATGGTGTTTGGTCTGCAGCATTTTAAGTGTTTTATTTATTACTTTTATTTATTATTTTTATTTATTTATTTATTTATTACTTTTGTATTATGAGATAATTGATTTATTTTATTATTATTAAAATTATATTTAAGTAAGGATTTGAATCTACCTCTATTCAACAACAGTATATTAGGATATTTTTTCTGCAAGCATACATGCATGTTTATTATAGTAAATTACTAAATTCATGTTCATATGTTTCCTTCTCCAGTACAGATTTAGGAATGCGATACCAGACTAGTTTTCCACTCAGTGGCATATGATAATTTATGTTCTCTGTCATTTAAATTATTTACACAATTAAAAGTACCATATCTAGTGTTTATTTCCCTTTATCTGATATTGCCAAAACGATGTATCTTTAATGAAAAGAATTGAGCAAAATTACAATTTGGTTAAGAAATTAACCATGGAAAATCTTAAGATTTCCTTTAAACTTAGCAAAATCACAAGATGAGACACAATGGTTTTGGTTCATGATTAGACTGATATATGATCAAAAGAAGCAGGATATGATGTACAAAATAATATAATACAAACATATGTAATCACAAGTTTATTGCTTTATTTAGCGAAAACGTTTTTATAGTAATAATGCATTCAGGCAGCAAATTTTTGAGGCCAGAAGCCAGCCCCACCCCCCCCCCCTTGGCAAAATGGGTCTTCAAATGTTTCCATATATGTGTAGTTGCCACCTAATATCAAGAGTACGACTCACTAAAATTTAAAAATACAAACAAGAGAACTATTTTGATATTGACTGTATATTATGTGTGAAACACATTTTCACAACAGATCTAATTATCATGTTCTTTCTTGTTGGCAAATATTTTTTATAATAATGCTCAACACAACAATACCTACTACATATTGATATTCTCATGGGTTTAGGCAAATCAAAATGCTTGAACAGCCAATTAAAACGGTTGAACAGCTAATTAAAACGGTTGAACAGCTAATTAAAACGGTTGAACGGCTAATTAAAATGCTTGACCAGAAAAACGGTTCATAGTCCTAGTTTCTGTTATCTATTTTCATCTTGTGTTATACAATATATTTATTTTTATTCTATTTCATGCAGAGCAGGGGGGGGGCATTGTGGGATCCACAGCCTTTACTATCCTTTTGGAATAGTTCAGAAAGTTCTCAAAAACGTTAGGTAAAGAGGGACTCTGATAAATCAGAATGGGGGGGGGGGGGTAAAAATTTAAAAAGTGTTTTCAGATTTTTGAGGGTTTATTTCTTTATTCAATTACTTCAATAAGTGCTGAGAAATCTCAAATAGCAAGTATATGAAACTGCAAATAATATTTTCAGAATTTTTTATTTCATTTTTATTTAGTTTGTTTTACCATGGGCATTCAATAGATTGAAAGTCCAAGATTTTACTGAATTCACTAAGGCAGAGCATTTGTACTGAAAAGTGTTTTCAGTTTACATAATATGTGTAAATGATTAAAAAATGAAAACCAAAAACAGGGCTTATTTTTCAAAACTCTAAACTTGGAAAAATCTGGAGGAAAATATGGATGCTTCCTTTATAGCAGACTCTAATCAAACTGAGAGTCTCTCTGTGATAAGGTTTGTTTTGCCTTGCCGAATTATTTTTGTTTTGTTTATGGATTAATGGATTAATAAAGTTTCTTTAGACACATCCTTCAAAGCAGACTCTAATCAAACTAGAGAGACTGAGTCTAACTGTAATCAGAGTTTTTAAGATATGCTTATCGACTTAATTATTTAAAACACATCCTGTAATGTCTGATTGCATTTTCTCTATCAAATCAAAAATATCAAATCAATAAACAGATTATTTTCCGATTGAAGGATTTCTTCCTTCCAGACACATCTTCCTTCCTTTATAATTGTGATGATTGCAAGGTGAAGTGTAAAATCCAAGACTTGACCCAAAAATTTTTTCAAATGTTTTTGCAATAACTTAAAAAGTAGTGAAGGGATTTTGTAAAAATGATAGTCATGACAGCGATGGGATTTGCTATGCCTTAGCATTGCTGTTAACTAGATAATATACATGTTAGTGGGACAATCACCATCCTTCAAAGTTAGATGAAAATTGGTTCAATATCTTTTCATTCACAAGACAAGTTTACGAAACTATTTCAATACTCTAAATATCTTTTTGATCAAACCATTTAAATTCTGACATGTATGCATCATATACATAGTACATACATTTGAAATATATTTTTTAAAGAGCGGGATAATTATTTTATGTTGTATTGAGATAATATTGCCATAGTTTTAAAGGGTTGCATTCGATTGAAACGGTTGCAAGAAATGCAACCAAAATTGTCAAGCGTTTACAATGGTTACATATGATTGAAACATTTTCAAGGAGTTTACAACCAAAATTGTAATGGTTGCATCGTAATGGTTGGCATGGTTGCATAAATGATCGGATCAATGATTGTACAATGATTGTGCAACGGTTTAAATTCGGACTTTCAAGGTTGAAATTTTTATAAGGGTTTACAATACGATTTTGAGACTTAGATTAGATGTCATTGAATTTATAATGGTCAATCGATGTGAAACATGTACACACAACTCTTTCATCATTATACTGCCTTTTTATGAACAAAACTTACCAAATAGTCCTAAGTTATTAGCCTTTGTCCAATATTCTGGTCCAAGTTAATTGATATGACACGCCACATGACATATATTTCTTCAATATTATCTCAGGCAATTATGCAGCAATAAATGATTAGAGAAAATATTGTATCAAATGTAATATAAATTCATAAATAATTTCATATTTATGCGATTTGGTAAGTTTTAGAAAGTCAACCAAAGAGTTTAATTTCATATTTCTAAATCCTATGTGGCGTTTCACAAAGTCAGCTCTCTTACTTGGAGGAGATAAAGCTAGTTTTTAAAAGTGTTTTAAAAGTTTATTTTTATATCCTTAATATACATTGCTTTAAATTCATTTCTACGAATCCAATAACAATACTTTTGTTCACATTTTTATGTTATTACATTCAATAGTAAACAGTTCTGATATCATCAATGACAATCACAAACAAAGATTTATAGACAGTCTAGTCTATTTACAAAACATTTGATCAATTTAAAGATGTCACTGTGATCAACAACAAAATCAGTCTGCGCCAGAGAAGACTTCCGTTCTGTTTTATTGACGTTTTGCTTACTGACCTAGTTAAAAATCATGCAGGTAAGATTGATTTTAATTTGTCTATATTTTCATGAGATTTGGATGAGACTCTAGATCTAAGTCCATATATCTATTTTCAGTGTCTTGTAAACATTTGCTTATCACCATCTTTTCATCCCATTTGGAAGTTATCATGCAGCAGTTTCTGTGTGTGTGTAATCTGGCTGAGTGTGTAAGTAATCTAATGAACACAACATAGAAGATCATCTATATTTCCCATTGGCCTATATAGTAAGAGGTTACATGTATGTGTCTCAGCTCTGGCTTTTTTGTATATAACTTTGAATTGGGTCACCAAAATAAATGAGTCAGTGGGACAGTGGGTCTTAACATGCAATTTCGAATGTAGGTCACCTGTTAAGTCCAAATTCAGAGATAGTGGCAAATAGCCTCCAAAAGCGATCTAATGGCATGAATCTTTATCATCATCATATATATTTCATATTCTTCATACAGTATATCTTCTTATCTGGGTGGTATAGTGGATCAATCTTTGCGTTGAAGCCATTGACGTTGTCTAGGGTCTGAGCGGTAAATGCTTCTTCAGGGAAATTATTCCACTCATTGATGATTTGTTGACTGAAGAATCCTTGTCTCATGCAGGCCCGTAGCCAGGATTTGCCAAGGGGGGTTCAGTTTTCAAAAATTTCCAGGGGGGGTTCACATTTGACAATTTTGGCCCAAATATGGCTAAAATCACAAGAGAAGAGCTAAAAATGGTGAAAAACTGCATGATTTTGAAAGAATTTTTGGCCAGGGGGAGGGTTTGCCCGAACCCTGCGAACCCCCCTGGCTACGGGCCTGTCATGTCAAGCATATATGCATGCATTTATATATTTATAAAGCAAGTTTGAAAATCTTAAATTTTCATTAGCGAGCAAATATAGCATGGCTTTAAGTCCTGGCCTGATAACATGTCATAATAGCCATTGAAATATTGGTAATCACGATCTGCTTGATGTTTCAAAGTAGGGAAGGAGCATACATATCCCTGTTGATAACCAAAGATTCAAAAATATAAATGTGATTGAATATCTGGAAGAACAGAAAAATCTACCCACGACACGACCAAGAAAACAGAACTGGCCATGAATATTTTAAAAGGATTCTTATGGTTGCCATTAGAAATTTTTTAAATTCATGCCAATTGTCTCCAATTGAACAATGTAAGCTAGATCGCCAAGACTGGCATGAGATAAACAGATCACCCAAGAGTCGGTTCAGGATTTTGAGATTATCCCTTCTTGGCCATAATATATGTACCATCGGGTATTGGTCTCAGGATAATCCCCATATCCTGAACCTCATATAGAATAATCTCTATATATCTTTGATTTAAGAAGAAAATGAAACAAAACTAAACACCTCTGATTAAATAGCACTCCTGCAAATGAACGCATCTAATCAATTAAATAGCACTCCTGCAAATGAATGCATCTAATCAATTAAATAGCACTCCTGCAAATGAACGCATCTAATCAATTAAATAGCACTCCTGCAAATGAATGCATCTAATCAATTAAATAGCACTCCTGCGAAATGAACGCATCTAATCAATTAAATAGCACTCCTGCAAATGAACGCATCTAATCAATTAAATAGCACTCCTGCAAATGAACGCATCTAATCAATTAAATAGCACTCCTGCAAATGAACGCATCTAATCAATTAAATAGCACTCCTGCAAATGAACGCATCTAATCAATTAAATAGCACTCCTGCAAATGAACGCATCTAATCAATTAAATAGCACTCCTGCAAATGAACGCATCTAATCAATTAAATAGCACTCCTGCAAATGAACGCATCTAATCAATATAGCCGCTTGGTTTTTCAGATATTTACAGAGTTGAAACATTAATAGCCTTATGAGCATATCTTAATCGAAGTTTATTAAAGATGTTAATTTAAGAGTAAAAAAGGCTCCAAAACTTAATAAAATATGTAGTTTGGATGTTCATTTATGTCTGGGGATGATGTTTTATACCACAAACACTTATAGATACCTGAAATTTGCAATAAAAGTGCCCAAAAATTGTTGTTTCGAAATTCCCCATTTTTCCTGTAACGCGCTAGTCACGTGACCATTACGCGTAGCAGGCAATACAGATATTACAGTACATATTTCAACATGTTCAATATGGCAAACATCAGCGATTCTGATTCCCGGGTTCTGGGAAATGGCTATTATAAATCGGCGAGAGGGTGTAATTTGACTGGGGACTATACAGGGGAAAATGTGTCCAAGTATACCAGTAAGAGAGCAGAAATGGTGACTTTAGACAAGTACTATGACGGTCGGGGAATCAACTAAAAATCTGAGTTTTGGAATGAAGACCCGAGGAGACTGATCCAGCGATCCTATTACTCAGTTTGAATTTTTGACGCGGAAAACAGGTTATGAAAACAGGTTTTCTGCAAAGTTATCAACTTTAGAAAATACGGATCTTGTTTTTGAGTAAGGCTTAGCAAGCATTTAGATACAAGACTTGGCTATCTCTTGTCAAATACACGCAGACTTGCGGTAAATTGGCCATTGCAAATTGCAAAATCAGATCGTCAAATTAATCGTTTCGTTTTTAAACGTATGCTTCATATCTTCATCCAAAACTTTAGTATTCATTAGAGATAAGTTATAACTTTTACAGGAAGAAATGGCAGGTCCTACCTTAATTTAGAATCGCTGATTTCTCTGGACAAATTCCGAGAAGAAATTGTTCAACATCGTGATCAGCTCAGACTACATGTCGTGTACTTGTCACTCTGAACTCACGTGATAAAATACGGCATCTTGATTGGTTACTACTCACGTTCCTTCATGTTGTCATGACGCGAAAAGCAGTAGTAAACACTGAATATGTTAATGAACTGCCATATATGGAACAATTGTCTTTCTGATTGGTTAACTTTACACGCCTCCTAAATGAATATAGTAGTCGTAGTAAATGATTCATTGATAACTACGAAAGTGGGCGTGACCAGCTTTATTTTGACACCAAATTCAAGATGTTTCAAATCAAAATGGCCTCGCAAGACGAGGTTGAAATATCGGCAATTTGATACTGATATGGTCTACGATAGATCAAAATTGCCTGCCCCGCGTCACATGTCACGTGAGCCTATATTTGTTGAAAAATGAAAGAGATAGTGACACTTTTTAATCATAAGTTAATACCAATATTACAAGCACGTATCTATTTTTTTCATTATATATTTATTTCTTCATTATACATACATTTGTTTTATACTACATTGATTCATTTTTGCAAAACCTTTGCTATTAGATCTTTAATATAAATAAATGTCCTTAAAAATATCATAATATAATTCTTATAAAGGTGGATTGTTTTTTTTCACATCAGCCCCTAGCACAGGATTCGATCCTATGTTTGAAACTAACTATTGAAATCTTTTATTCCTTTGAAAATTAGACTTAAATTCTAAAAGAATAATCAAATAACAATTAACATATCTAAAATGAAAAGAAGGTAATTGAAGTAAATATTTGTTAAGGATGTATTTAATATCATAGTAAATTACCTATATAATATGTATCTAACATTTGTCTATTTTATAACAGACAGATGAGCATTAGGATGAGTGTTGACAAAAGTTAACAATATTGTTATTTTTTGTTTTATTTTGTACACGTGTGTTTGTTTAAGCAGCTGCACATCAATTATTCTATTTCATCATTGAATTTATTTTACTTATCTCTTATTTATTATGAAAAGCATTTAAGTAGGCTATTTGGCATATCATTCACACAGAATATCATTCTGAAAATTCATTTCGTTCGTTGCGTACCTTCACTACCTCTCTGACGATGTTAAAATAGTTCTAAAATTCCTGGGGCATGATCTGAGAAAGCTTGAGAAATTAGTTCGATCTGTAATACTTCATCAACAACACCAAAACTTAAGTATAACATGAATCATAATGTTTATAATGATTTTACCATAGAAATTGGTAATCAATGTTATATTTGATGTGTTTTTAGGTAAAATCTCCGCGGAGCAACACATTGTAAAATATCAAGATTGATAATCACTGGGTTCAACATTACTACACGATTTCAAGATGGCAGTGTAAAAATTTTCTAAGAACGCTTCAAATAATATTATGTTAATTTCTGGGGAGTTAACCAATAACATAACTTGTAATCTAACAACAAAATAAACAAATATGTAAGAAATGCAATTTTATCGATTAAAACATCACATCGACATGTGGTATTTGTTTATTGGACATCGAAAATTACGAATATGGGGAGTTTCTCAATGACGTCACTTCAAAACGAACTGCATGACAGAATATGTTGAAAAGATGATAAAATAGTTCTGCACTCCCAGCCTAATTAACATAATTTTAACTATGGAATTTTATTATGATGACAAGAATTTATATTTTGTACATACAGGGTGAGCCAAAAAAGATAACCCAAACAAATGCGAATTAATGAGTTATTCA